TGTTTTTAAAAGTTACATAAAGTCTTTGAAAACCCAATTCACCCCCTCTTGGGTTGCCATATGAACCAACAATATACACGTATATATGGATTTTCCCCTGGACTAACTGAAAAAACATGTCAAGTGAGGGTAAAATAGTCTTTTTAGCACTTATGGACGTGGTTTTTCTTTTTTTTTTTTTTTTCAAACTTTTTTGTCCTGAAAACATCCTAATTTTAAATATATTAATAGCTAGCATCGTCAATCACCAAATGAGGATTTTATCTCTTTCGAAACAAAGCAAACCCCACCACCCTTTCTTATGAAAGGGACAAAATTAACGAAACAAAAATTTTCGATTTTATCTTTTTCCTTATTATTTTGCTTTCTGGGGGTATTTTCTGCTTGCTAAGTATGTGATAGCCAAGGTTGAGTTGTCCTTGTCCAGGGAGTGTGCATTGGATGAAAAGCCAATTTCATACCTGAAAAATGCACCACGAAATCATCGTCGTTCATAAACATTAAAACCTCGGAGGAGGGACACAAGCTAGGCAAAGAAGAAGATTATGTTGGATTGAATGGCCAACATTTTCTGTGGTTGTCTATTTTCTCTCCTACGTGTTAAACTTTCATTGCTCTCGACATCTTTTTGGTTGCAACTCATATCGACTCGGCCCTCCCTTCAAATTATTTCCTCTTTCTACGTTCTATGTCGTCACTGTTCACATCCATATGATTTCCATGTCACCAACCTAATCTATAATTTTTCTCTCATATATGTCCACATGCATGACCAATCTAGCTAGCTAGCTACGGTTTCTCAGAACTAATTATAATAGTTTCATTTTAAAAGCTGATGTTATGTATGGTCATGTTATAATATACTCAAATATATTAAGGAAAATGGTAGGTTTTGAAGTTTACAAAGGATATATATGAGCAAAATTAAATCGAAGAAAGAAATGGACCATATATGCCCCCCAGACTCTCTAGTGCTAGATTTCACATCTTGTCTAGTTAGTGTGAAAATTGTGTATGTAGGTTTTAATGCAAGATTTGTATTCAAATTAAAACTAACGCATTCAATTTAAATCAATTGGTAATAAATGAAGTAACTCTTTTTATATTTAACTTATATACATTTTCATTATATATTCTATGTAGAATTTTACCACTCAACTGGTTAGATTTCTAATAAGCCTAAAAGAAGATATTCTTTTGGAATCTTGGTACGGTCGCCACCTCCATTATATATATTAAGAAGAAATTAGAGGTTGTATATCATTCTAAGCATTAAACAAGATCATATGTATGGAAATTTAAGAAAATCATAGCACATGCTAACATCAGAGTATCTTCATATTCATTGAAAACAAGGGTTGGGGTGAAGAAGTCGGGTGGCTCATTTTGTAATGTTTGACCAAGTAAAAGATAAAAGAATCAGAATCCATTGGGGGTATCTGGAGAGGACCCACCTATGTTATGAGCTTATTTGATATAGTAGTTAAAATTTCACAAATAATTAGTAAAGGGTAATAAATAGTGGATAGCAATAGCAAGTAGAAGTGATGGTTAGTGAATAGTAAATAGTAAATTTTAAATAACGAATTTTGATTGATATAACTGTTTAATTATATAATAGTTAATAGTTGTTATTTAACAATAAATAACTAATAATGACATGTTTAAAAGCAATTTAGTGTATTTTTCCTTTTTATATTTTTTATTATTAAGATTATTAATTTTATAAAAAATAATAGTAAATAATATAATATAATATGAATCACACTCATTTCTATTTTCAATAAAGAAAAAATTATATTATTTTTTAATGTGAATCAAACTTCTAATTATTTCTTCTAATTAATAAATTGTGTTTATTAAATTAATATAAATTTTTAATGATAAATTAAAGTAAAAAAATGATAATTACTTAATATTATTAAAAATAAAAAAATAAAGTTAAAATAAATTAGATAAGTGTTAATTAGAGAGGGTGGTAAAAAATTAAGAAGTTAAAAGGGATAAATTTTTAATGATAAATTAAAGTAAAAAATAAAAATATAACAATCAGTTAATGTTACTTCTTCAGTTCATTTTTAATATATCTAACTTGACTCTTTTTTGTGTTTTTGAACATGAATTTTAGATGAAAATTTAACAATTTAGATAAATAACAGTTGAAATTTTTTTTTTATCAAATAAAAATACTTAAGAAGAACTAAACATAGGAGTCAAAAAAATTTTTAATTATTGTTCATATAGATTATTAAATTTTTCATCCAAAATTTATTAACAATTTGATACAAAAAGTTTCTTAAGATAACTATTTCAATTTGCTAGTAATTTTAATTCTAATAGTTATCTATTAGTTTCAGGTTATTAAATAAAAAAATTTATAAAACACTTAATTTATAGTAATTTTAAAACAAATAACTTTCTCAATCACTTACCTTATAATAATTTGAATAAAATTACTACATGTTACCCACAAATTGCTGTACCAAATCACCAGTAACGCTTTCAAGGTTTTGTACATGCGTTGTCCCATCAATAATAGTAAGATATAGTGGCATTTGAAATGACAATTTCTTGTTCTTTATCAACTATTGTTATTAAGAGGATAATATTTTTTGGTTTGAATTATTTATTAAAAATATAGTTTTATTTTGAACAATTATAATTTTTGGGATAGAGATTCGAAGAGTTGAGGATGTATATTATGATAAAACATATAGTTATTAAATTATTAAAAAGGTAGTTTAAACACCAAAATTATTAAAGTACTTATAATGAGGTAATATATAAGAGAATTTCACTAATGTTACTTTGATAAATTTATAACTTTACCTACACTTTTATTATCAATCCAAATTGAAAATTTTTTTTTTTGGTACATTGACAATTTTATTTGTAATAATGAAAAGCTATTTTACCGAACCACAAAGCAAGGACTCAGACAATAATTACACATGCGGCATTCAACAACTACCAAATTCACCAAATTCGTCCTTCGCCTGAACTGAAACCATGGGGGAAAAGCGGTGGGATTTGGTCTAGGTGTGTACACAAGAAAGAAAAAATGACTGGACTGAAGCGAGACGTTCCTGCTTAGGATCCCCCAGACAGAATCCGTACCCTTTCACATCCACTTTTCCCTTTACATGACACACCAGTAAAATTACTGATGTGTCGAATTGCTAATGCATTTTTCGTTCAACAGCATCTCCTTCCCAGATCTTCAGAGGCGCAACTTGTGTTTTTATCATTGCAAATGCAAATTGCTTTTGACCCTTTCGACAATATCCTCTCTCTAATTTGTGGTATTTATTTACTTTGAAGGGCATTATTCTCATCTTCCAGAAGCAACTTCTTCTTCTCATAAAAAGGGAGGGTAGTCTGTCGGCTTAAATTTAGTAGAGTTTATCTTTTATTTAAGATATTTAAATTTAATTATTTATTTTATATTTTAAAATATTATTTAATATATTTATTTTTAAATATTAAT